CAGGCCTGGGGGAGGGCAGCCATCTCTGCCCCACAGGGCAGGCCCAGGGGCAGGGCAGCCATCTGTGCCACTGCTGCCCACCCCAGAAGGGCTGGGTCGTGCCCAGGAAATGCTGCCTCTCTGCAGAGGTCTGTGGTGAGGGCCTCCACTCACTGGCCGACACGTGGACACCTGCATGAGTCAAGTACAACCAATCTGCCCCGATCAGCCCAGTAAGTTCATGCAGTTGGGGAAAGCATTTCCATTTAGGTCAAACAGTGCACAACTGAGAGAGAACTCTCATTTATTATGCCGAAATAACTATGTCAGCATCAAAGAAACCACACTGTTCTCCACAGGATTAAACCGCAGTCCCTTATACTATGATACTTCCCCCTCTTCCAAGACTACTTGAAGACTCCAAGTCAGACATTTGGAAAAATCAGTTGAACAACAGCATGTTGAAATAGGTTTTTGAGAAGGCTTACACGAAAACTTTCATTTTGCTAAAAAATAGACAGATGGTTGTCAGCTGCTTGTTCATCCAGTTTATAAAATAAGGGGATTTTGTCTGCAAGAATGCACATCAGTGGCAAGCACTGTGTTGAGGTAACTAACCCCAGAACAAAGGGATTGAGTCTCATTTACTCCAGTGATCAATTACCTTACATCAGTACAGCTTACTCTCCATAAATCATTACTTTTACATTATACATTCCCCATAAAATCAGAAGTTTTATGTGTCATATACAAGGAAATAGTTTCACCTGTACAACTGTACCTGTAACACCACATCCCACGATCAACCCTTCCCTCCTCTGCACTGCTGACTCCCAACATCCGATGATGTCGTCAGCATCCCTTGTTTTCTGTTCCCAGCACCACAGGGCCTCATACTGCTGCTATAAAACAAGCAGGTTCTGTCCTTGCAGATCCATAAACTCCTGTCCTGTACTTTTTAATGGCACCAGTGTGGGGCATGGGATGGGGGAGAGAATTGGGGAAAAAAATAAAAGCAAACTGAACTCATGGGTTGAGATGAAGAAGTGAAAAATAAGCAGAGAAGACTAGTGTCAATGTCCTATGATTCATTTAACCTTGATTTTGTATCTCAAAAAGGAAAACAAAAACACTTCATAAAATATTTGTCGAAATACTGCTGCCATGAAACTCTGAACAAGTTTGTTAACCCAGTTTTGCACTTTGGAAGGTCAGTAAAATGACGTTCATAAGTAATTTAACAAATGAAGCACGTAGGGAGTTTCCAAGCTGCAGTTCATATTTAAAGAGGATCAAACAGAGCAGTACCTTATTTAAAATAGCTTAGCATCTAGAGCTGACGATGTGAACAGCCACCGAGTGCTCTGGCTACTCCTCTTGCTCAGATTTCCTTAGTGTGAGTACACTCAGCACGGCTGAGGCCATGGAGAAGAGACAGAAATAATTGTCGGGAAGAAAACACAACTAGTTCTAGTTTATGATGTGTTAAAATGATGCAACTTTTAAAGTGAATACTTTGTAAAAACTTTATTTTATTGAGTCCAGGTTGTGCTACAAAATGAAGTCCAAGGTCCATGAGGCATTTCTGTTTGCACTCTGACTTATCTGACAACGTCCAGATTGCCTGTAAGATTTTGTTTTGGGAAAATTGCCAAAGAAACCCCACAAGAAGATCAAAATGGAACACACATACTTCTTTCCTATAATTCTGAGTGACTTCAGTTCCAGCGAGAGCTGCTGGGCTGGGCACTGAGCCCAGTGTCTCCTGCTCACAGGACAGGCATGGCACTGGGGGCTCACTGGAGGCTCACCCTGCTGCCCAGGCAGGGGTGAACAAAGTGCTGCAGCTAATGGACAAGTCACAGTAGCTTGAGAGAACAGGATAAGGCTCAGAGGGTAGTTCTGTCTCCATGCCAACTTAACGTTTATTCTTCGTTTTGAGTCTGCCCATGAGTACCAATTCCTGTCAACCTGGTAACTATTCTGTGCGTGAGAAACCCAGCGTACCAGGCTGCCACACAAGGGTTGAGCAGCAGTGCACTCTTCTCATTCTCAATTTTTGCACAGTTTGAACAGGCCTCTTTCAGGTAGAAAGATCCAGGTCCCACCACACACAAAGGCAGGTTATATGTAAGGAAACAGGAGAGGGACCTTCTGGAAATACTCCCACTGAAATAGAAAGGAAGCTTCATAGCACTACGTGAAGCCTTGCTTTGCACCTTCCTTGTCTGAAAGTTTCATTAGATAGATCATAAATGCCTAAACGCAAAGACACTACATGCTGTGTCCCTTTGGGGGCAGGCAGAGGCGCAGCCCAGGGGACCAGCTGTCGTTCTGGCCAGACCCAGCACACTCAGGCTGGGAGATTCAGCTGCTCAGCCAACACCTCCATCTCCTCCTCCTCTCCCCTGCACTGCCACGCTCCCCTCTGTTTGAGGACATGACTCCCAGACTAGGGGAACACACCCAAACCCTTTCATGCCGAGTACTTCACACTGCCTGAATAAAAGACACTTCCAAGGGGTGCTGCAGCAGCTCATGATCACTCTGCTAGTCGCTATCGTGCTCTTTTTTTATTCATCTCTAACTCTAGCTCGGAGGAAGGGAAGAAAAAAAATGTTAAAACAAGAGGGAAAAAAGCAGTGGAGCAGAGGCACAGCACTAGCCCAGCTCTGCATGCTGCTGGAAGACATGCCTTTATTCCCATAAGTTCAACTGGTCTGGGGAAAGAAGATCCTCTTTCTACCACAAAAAATGAGTCTTAGTGTACAGGACTATCTGGTAGTTAGAATAACCCCTCAGTCCTGAGTTCTGGATCTCCACAGAGCTGGCAATACCAGATTTCCATCAAGCCCCAGCTGTCAGACACTCGGGGAATGATGCAAAGAGCTTCTGCATGGGGGTTAAAAGAACACGTGAACAAAGGTATTCAGAATGCATGGCAGAATTGAACATTGCAGATTTGATTTTTTTAAATCCCAGCAATAAATAGGCATTTAACAGTCATCAAAGAAAGCTTCTCAGGGAGCAACAACTGCCAGGAACAGCACTTCTTGAATTGTTCACTCCAAAGCCAAATGCCTAAAGAAATGCAATCAGTTAATATATGTCTGATTTGTGGACTGCACCCCAGTGGTCCGAGGTCACTGGCTTCCAAAGCTCTCCAAGTGCCTGGCAGAGCACAACTGGGGACTCTGCCTCACAGGTTCACAAAAGGATCACTGTATGCAGGACAGATTAAAGAGCATGTCTATATTTAATACAAAGTAGGCACTTGTTTTCTATAAACTCCCAAAAAGCTGGCTTAAATATGTTTAAATTCTTATTTAAAAGCCTTAAGACAGATTTCAGCATTATGTTTTAAATCAAATGCTGGAGCCAGAAAAACTGGTAAGTATACTGTAGTAAATCCTGCTTCAGTATTTTCTGTATCAGCTGCACTCTGGTACAGGTGGGGTACAATCTCCTGGAGCTCACCCCCAGATGTGGAATGTGTCCGCATTTAGCTCTCCCCTGGAATGCTGAGTGCAGTGAACAAGCCTCACCTCACAGTATTCGGTGACGATGCAGAAACTCTCTCTCTCCACAAAGCTTGCATAAAATTTGACAATGGCTGGATGGTCTAATTTGGAGAGCAGTTGTGCTTCCAGATTTGCCTCAACAGTTTCATTAGGCTTTAGGTCTCCAACAGAGATTTCCTTTAGAACCTTTCTACAGGGAAAAAACAGAAAAATATAAAATCATGTAATGCTCAGAAACCCATCATAATGTCTTAAAATGCAAGATAACATTAACCAAGTATTTGGCAACAGTTAACGATGGAGTAAATATGTGTAAACAAGGAGAATAATGCATTAAAATGCAAATAAATATACTCGTCACCATAGTGATTAAGTAACATTTAAAAAATACTATATTTTGAAGTATTTTCCCACTAATTCCCTATTACACTGGTCTCTTTCTGACATGTTTTCAGTGCTACGGATTAGTCCATAATAATAAATATTTAAAAAAATATCAAATCTAAGTGATTTCAAACCCACTCAGAACATATGCTCAAGATTCATCTGTGAAACAAGGAGTAGCAAGAAAGTGGTTTGGCTGTTTCTGCAGGTCTCTCCATGGAGGCATGAGAAAAATCACTCAGAGGGTATTATGACTGTGACTGTTTTTCTGGTGATAAACTGAGGATGCTGACTTTTCCTCTACAGACCAGCCTGTCCTTCACCTGAACACCTCAGTGAAAAGTGCAAATGTGATTCCACTGTTTCAATGAACTCTAAATTTTCAGTGTTTAACATTGTTTTGAGAGGCCCTAAATCCCCTGAAAAAGGATGAAGGAATAAAGGGATTTTTCATATTCTTCAACTTTAACACGTGAATGTGCCATAAAATAATTTGTCATTCAGACTTTGCTCTGTACCCTGGTGTCGGGCAGTCGAACAGGAAAACAAGGCAAATGGCCCAAAACGTGGATATCCTCCAAATACAATTTTTAAAACTACCCCTTTTGATACAATGTTAAAAGAGATGTACTAATTTAAAGGTATTTATTTTTATAAATGTCACTTAATCTGGAACACAGACACATATGCAGAACAAAGACCTTTATGATGGAGTCCAACCAAAAACCTCACACTGCCCAGTCTGCTGCTAAACTGTGTCCCTACAGACAAGACAAAATGTCAGTGAACACACAAACAGAAAATTTTGTTAGAGAAGCGCCAGCAGATTATCTTAAACTTAACTACAGAACAATAACCTTCAGATGTTAACTGAGTGGAGAAAAATCCCTAGCCTTGCAATTTAACAGTGCAACTCACAGAATCACAGACTGTCCGGGGTTGAAGGGACCAGAGGCCATCGAGTCCAACCCCCCTGCCAGAGCAGGACCACCTAGTCTGGGGCAGGTCACACAGGAACGCAGCCAGATGGGGCTGAATGATTAAAATAAAGGCACTTTAAACTTGTTCCTGAGCTGCCCACAGCTGGAGAGCGTCTCAGAGCGCGGGAGCAGAGGGGGCTGTCCCTGCCTGCACCCAGAGGTGGTGGTGTCCTGAGAGCACGACAGCGGGCAGCAAACGGGGACAAACAGAGCAAGGCCACAACAGGCACGAGGGTGGGACCCTCCCGGACCCTCCAGGGCACAGGCACGTGGTGGGAGCCCCTTTTTGGGTGGCTGACAATATGCCCCAGCAGTGTTTATCCCGGGCTGTTGGCACTGATCCACAATGAAATGTTTCACAGCCCATCTGCTGTTTGTTTACGTTGATGACATACTTTCCTATTATATAATTTGGTTTATTGGATCAGATGCAACTGTTAAAAGAATGCCTTCCTCAAAACACACTCCATCTATTGAGTGAACTGCACCATGTACATTTGCTTGCTGATAATGAAGTAGTAATGAAATATAACTTCTTTCATGTCAAGAATAAATAGCTCTGATAAAATACCACACAGAAGATGTGCTCTAGGAATACAGAAACCTAATTTGAAGTTTTTAATGAAACAGAAACTTCATTTTACACAGGCAGTAGTTAATTGCAGCCTGAGATCAGCAAGACCTGCTCACAGGCAACCTGTGTGCAGAGCTGGGAACTCCTCATCCTGTTGAGTTTCTGAGTCACCAACACGGCGACCTGTGGCTTGGCCCGTTACCGTTGTGCTTCTGCCCACTCTTTGTGGACCTCTGTGGGACTGACACCTCTTCACGCCAGCAACTCCTCAGCACAAGGACAAGGTGAATTCTGTGAAAATGTATGACCTTGTACTGGCTCTGTAAGTGGATCTGAAATTGGTTGTAAATTATTAAATTAAAGGAGTGAAAAAAATCATTTATCACACTCCCAATGCAAACAACGAGAGCTGGTTGCTGCTCCTCCTACCCACATATATGTGTTTGCTCATTGACCAAACCATTTCAAACTCAAAGTATTACTATGCAACTTCTTAAATCAAGTCCTGGGTTCCTTTTATCATTCCCATGTCCGTTACTGATCTATTAGGCAAACTATAAGCCCATTTTAATCCCAAGTATTGCTGCACAACTCCTTAAATCAAATGCCAAGCTTCTCCTGCCATCCCCATGAACACTACTGATTTATTAGCCAAGCTGTAGCAGCTTTTGATGATTGTTGTTTCCCATCCTCCAAAACAGCCCATTCATGCTGTTCACGAACACTCATAACTGTCAAGAATTAATCCTTAGGTTAACCACTAAGAATTCAATTGCTGTATGAGCACAGTAATATCTGTAGTTGGATTAAACATAATTTCATTTTCTGAATAAGCACTTTAAAGAATTTAGCAGTGCTTAAATACCTTTCAATGGTGATGAGATTTCATACATTTACAAGTGAAATGGATGATTTGCTTTCCATTTCCATCAGCAAGACACAGGTACAGCACCTACAAACATTTTTCGAGATGCCTAATTTTCAAATGCTCCAACATATGCAGTGACACCAAACAGCTCAGCTCTTGATGCAAACAGTTTATGGTTATTTGAAAATTAGCAGTTCCTAATTAGTATCCCAAAGAAATGCAGAACATATATTCTGGAATATGAAAGGGAAATAAGTTGAAATAAGTCACCTTCAAGGAATGCAGCTCATATCATTTTCTTCTGCACTGAGCAAAATCTCATACCCACAGAGGGGTATATTCAAATTATTTTTGGGCAATCATATGTGCCGATGGTGGAGAAATTATTGTTTATATAATTATAAAGCAAAGCAGAATACTTGTGTTATCCTCTACAGAACCATTGCTACTGCCCAAAAGCAGCCATTAACAGCATTTATTTAGACATGAAACTGTTTTAATTCTTAATGATTCTTTGGGACATTTTGGGTTGTTACCCACACTGATTAAAAACTACAAAATAAAAGTGGAAATTGATTAATAAAAGAACTATTTTCTTTTAAAGCCACATTCTTGAAACCTAGAATTTTCTTCTTAGACAGAAATGGAAAAAATAAACTATAACTACAATTACAGCCTATTCATATGCTCCAGCTCTAAATCTAACGCTAACAGACTGTGATTGAACTGAAGAAATTTGTGTCTACTCAGGAAAATTACTAACAATCTTTATGGGGCACAGACTAAATACCTGTGCATGTGCTGGGGTTTGGCAGCACTTGGTCTCTACATGTTGCATTATCACCATCTGCTGTTCATTCCTCCTTTTCTTTACAGCCCAGTTGTGTTTAATAATGGAATTAAAGATCATGTTGCCACTAACCAAAATGGACTTATAGAGAGAAATGTGAAAGGACTAAATAATTTGTTTATCCTCTGTATCCTTGATGAGTTAATCCCATCAAACATCAAATCATCTTAAACCAGGCATTTCCCTGTTGTGATTCCATTACACATACTCGATGCATTTCACTATTAACTCTGCTAATTAATGTTCCCCTTCTGAAAGAGGCAATACCATCCAAGAACCAAAGCTGGGAAGCAGCACTGTGTTCCCAAGCACTACAACATGATGAAACATCTCATCATTGCCATGCCACGTTTGTTCAACTCATAGCCCTGGGCTACAGCATCTGCCAAAATTTTTTTCCTTGTATAGGAATTAGTTTGAATTTTGAAATTAGTTTCAATTAGAAATTTTGAAGAAAGACCCTCCTACCACCTGATCTATATGCACCAGTTTACAGAGAACAAACAATTTTGAAGAACAAGAGTTATGAAGGGAGAACAGACATACCAACAATTGCTGTAAGAATGCACTCCATAGAAATTCAACTAAAACATTTTCTAATGTAACATTTAATTAGTTCTTTCCTGAATGTAAATATATTTGTAAGCAGAATTATGTTCTTTTCAATGTTGAAAGGATATTGATGACAACAGCATTGTCCCCTCAGTGGAACCAATTCCCTTAAGTAATTTAGATAGCAATTGCTGCAACTCTGAGGAGAAAACCCACTCCTCCTACAATCTCTTTCCAGCAGGCACTCCCCTTCAGTGCTCACTCCTGATGTGTATTGAATTCTCCATGGACAAGACCAAGCAGCAGTGGTGGGGAGGAAGAGACCCAGCACCATCTGTAGCCTGCCAAAGGCGCGCTGCTGGCGAGGCCACGGCCACGGGGGTCCAGCAGTGCTGAGGAAACTCACTGTGTAGAGTGTCTACTGTCAGACAGATAGAAGTCTTTTAATACTTTCTGGCCCTCCTGAGTAGAAATCAGTGAGGTGTGTGATTCAGAAATGAAGCAGCCACCCAGCAACAGCGACCTGTTGGCTCAGAACCCACGACGGGCACACCACACACCTAAGAGAAGCAACGGACCAGGAGTTACACTTAGGGATGTGTCAGTCACACAAGCACAACCAAAGAGCAGAAAAGAAGCAGAAATACACCAGCTCCAGCAAAGCCAGAATTTATTCCACTCGCTGCAGCAGTTTTCTCATTACAATGTACTGAATGCCACAAAGAGCAGGAGGCTCGTTCTGCAGGGGGGAAATGCCAGCGTCCCTGATGCAGGCTCAGGAGGAAGCGCCTTGCCCACGAGGGCAGGCTGCAGTGAGCACAGCAGAGAGGAAGCTCAAGCACTGCAGAACCAGACCGTGCCTCTGAGGCACGTGGGCACAGTTCAGCCTGCAGTCACAGCACTGCACCTCTCCATTGTCCTGACATCTAGCTTACAAACCCATCAAAACCAAACATCGGCTTCAACGGAACAAACGAGCCACGAGCCATCCCAAGGCATTTGCTTAATTACAAAATCATTAAATTCTGTCTCTGCCACGCATGGGTGAATGTGAATATGCATCTCAGGCTGGCTGCATGCACGGCGCCAGCCCTGGCTCTCCTGGCTGGCGGGACAGGCTGGACAAACCTAATTCCCCAGTCAAGGCAGCTGCCAAGCCCTCTCAGCTACTGAGCAGACTCTCCCCAGGGTCTCCTACAGGCTTTTGGAGGACAGTTCTAACAAGACCATGCCCAACTCAAGCAAACTTTGGGCAAAGAAACTGCACGCAAAGCCAAACAAGCTCTGAAGGCACCTCCAGAGGACCAGTAAAGGCAGGCACCTTCCAGTGGGCCGCCTGGCAGCTGCGTGCCCACCAGCAGACGCGTGCCCAGCTTCACTCTCTGGCAAGTGCCATTTGCAGGTGCACTCCTAAACCAAGGCACAAGAGCATCAGCTGCTGCCACAGAGCTCTCAGCGAGGACTCTGACCTCGGCCAGGGCCCAGCTCCTGTAGGGCTGCTCTCAGAAAGCCAGCCAGGGTCAGCCCAGCAGGGCAGACCCCTCCCACTGCCCAGCCACACCAGCCAGACCACGCTGTCCACGCTCCCACCCCTCATCTGGGGCCGAGGGTGACTGTGCACCCCAGGAGCCACGGCAGCACCGACACATGGCAGCCTGTGCCCCTCCTGAGGAAGCAGAGGCACCTGGTGGGGCCAGCAAAGGACAGGTCACCGAGAAACGCTTACTGAACAATAAGCAGCAATCAGGAGGGGCCTGTGGGAGCTGCACCCTTGTTCAGTTTCCAAGGAGATGATGAACATACAGATCACAGCATTCTATGCTTCTATCACCAGTTCACAAATCTAAAATGACCGGATGGTTTCTAGTTTTAATTTCTAGTTTTTATTATAAAATGAAGAGGAAGAAAAAAGGAAAATGGCGTGACCAGGTGAACACACAGCAGGCAGGGAGCCACTCGTTACTGTTTTAATCAATCCAGTGTCAGATGCCCATTCCCTTGGAATACTTTCAGAGGCACAGGGGTGAGCGTGGCCTGGAACAGGAGACTGAACAGCACAGCAACCTGCTGGCCATCGCCTGGATAGCCCCAAGGTACAGAACTCTGCCACCTTTAGACTTTATTTCATTTGCTAT